TAATCCTGGCCACCTGGAACTGAATTTGTCATTAGAACATTTATTAAATCACTTTGTAAAAGTGTTTTTGGTTAAATAGAAAATATCCCATGAAAGGCTAAAAACTAGACTTTGTATACTAATCTATTCCTGAGATTAAGCACAATTCTGTGCGCTAAGCAACATCTATTTAGCCTGAGATTCAACAGCCCTTCTCCTCGTTGTAATTCTTTCTTAGAAAAATGTGCTGTAGAGTTTATTTGATTGGACATTTCCAAGTTTTGTGATCTCTTATAGGTAAACATAAATATTCTTCTTTAAAAAGTGTGTTTTGCAGCCAGGCAGTGGTGGCATACACGTTTAATCCCAGCACATGGGAGACAGGCTAGTGGATCTCTATGTGTTTGAGTCCAGCCTGGTCTACAGAGCAAGTTCCAGGGCAGCCAGAGCTACCCAGAAAAACCCTCCCTGGAAAAACAGGAGACAACCCCCCAAAAAACAACAAAAAAGTGTATTTTGCCATTCTTTGAGAACGACACACAGCATATTTTGATAATATTAACGTATCTTTCCCAAACTCCTCCCACATCCACCCTCTCCTTCCTTTCCTGCCCCTTCAATTTTGTGTCTTTTTTACTTTTCAAGATGAGATTGTCTTGAAACAGATGTCCTGATCCTCTGGCTTTTCCATCCTCCTGCTGTCTCCTCCACTGTGATCCCCCTGAGCTTTACCTGCAGGAGTTATGTTGTAGATACATCCGATGGGGATGACAGCCATGGCCTGCTCTTCTCTACATTTTGAGTAGCTGTGTTTTTCTGTGCTGGTCTCCATCTACCAAAAAAGAAGTTTCTTTGGTGATCTGCGGGTGTAGGATAAGTGTTTAGAATACAGTTAGAAATCTCACTGCCTTGAGAAAGTGGCAGTAGACGGTTCTTTTCTCGGGCCCATGACCTTACTTAGTTGGCTATGTTTACAGTTCCCAACATGAATTCTCTTATTTATGGGGACCTTGAGTACAATTAGATGGATGTTGGTTACCCCCAGAATGTCAGTGTCACCATTGCTCTTCTCTGAATATCTTGTCATGTTGGCCATTGTTGTGGTTCACCGGCTTTATAGCCAGGTAGGACTATTAATTGCTTTTCTCCCCTGGGAGCTTACAATGCTGCTTCTGAATCATTTCTGCCCTGATGAAGCTCATAGTCCAGTAAAGGAGACTTTCTTTCCTTTCGTCCTAGGTTTTTCTTTGAGGAGGTATAGGTGCCCATGTTTGAGTGTGCCAAGTCAGGCTATACTGAGCTATGGTGGACATGGTGAAAGGTACCGGGCAGAGTATTGTGCCTTTTTGTGGCACCCCACCCTTATGGAACATATCAAGGTTATGGAGCCCTACCATTGATGAAAAAGACATCACATAAACTAGCAGTTTTCAGTATCAGCACATTGACATTGTAGATCAGATACTTAGTTATTGTTGGAGGCTGTTCTGTGAATTGGTTGGGGACATGCCTCAACCAGCTGAATTCCAGTAGAATCTGCTGGAATTCAAAAAATTGTCTCTAGCATGATAAAAGTCCCTTGGTAAGCAAAATCACTCCTGACTGAAAGCTACTGAGATTTTTTTGCATATATAAAGTTTGACTTCAAAGGAATACAAAAAATCTCTTCGGATGACCACAAGAAAACCATGTTGGAAAAACCTTTAAACATAAAAATGTTTAATTGGGCCAGAAGGGTAATACTAGAAGAAACAGAAGATCATTTTTAGAGAGAAATTTATTAGCTTCAGGATACTCTTAGTTTTATAACCCACTCTGGTAGAACTTACAGAATCCTAAGCTCCTGGTAAATTCAAGGCAACTCGAATAGATACCTTACTTTAGTGGGATTTAAACATTTTGAATTTCTGAGTTTCTTCATTTTCATTCTGTTGCTGTGATAAATACCATGACCAAAAGCAGCTGAAAGAGGAAACGGTTTATTTGATGTAAATATTCCAGGCCACAATCCTCTGAAAGAAGCAAAGATAGGAACTACAGGCAGGGACCTGGATGTAGGAACTAAAGCAGAAGTCACAAGAGAATCCTTCTTACTGGCCTGCACCTTTTGACTTGCTTGGTCTGCTTTCCTGTATTACCTAGGACCACCAGCCTAGAGGTGGTGCCAACCACCGTAGGTTAGGCCCCTCCCAAATCAAGCATCAATCCAAAAGTGTCCATAGACATGCCTACAGGCATCTAATGGAGGATTTTCTCAACTGAGATTCCTCTTCCCAGATGAACCTAGATTGTATTAAGTTGAGAAAAACTAACCAGGACATGAAGCATCCTTTGAGTTCTGAATATTTTTATTTTCCATTTATTTCTGAAGTGGGTATTTAAGGAGCTAAAAAGATCTCTTGGGAATTTTAGAGAGATATCAGAGTGAAATGATAGCCGTGGTAGTCCAACTAGCTTTTCAGTGGTCTAAGTTCAATGCCAACAACTCTTAACAATTATAGAGTGTTGGACAAGATTCTGATATGCATAACTCCCTTTTGCTAAAAACTCATGAAAGGCTGGAAAGATATCATAGTCAGTATAAGCACATACTGTGCAAACACAACTTAATCCTCAGAGTCCATATCAAAAGGCTGGGTGTAGTGGTACATGCTTGTAATCTCAGGATTAGGGAAGTAGATACAGGCAGACCTTTGGGGCTTTCTAGGCAGCCAGCTGAGAATACTTGGGGAGCTCCCTTTTCAAATATTTCAAAAAATATTTTATCATATGAAGAAAGATATTCAAAATATATAAGGTGGCTTTTTGAGGGTTCTACCAGAAAAACTCTTCACATTTTTTAATCAATGTTGTTAGTTTTAGTTAAGAATTTCATATTTCATAGCTTTTGTCCTGTGCTACCTTTTAAAAATTATATTATGCTTATTGTAGAACAGAAACAAAATTTAAGCCAAGTTTAACCTAGGCATGATCACACATTTTTATTGTGTCTATACTAACCCAGTACTTAGAATTTTTTTGCTTTTATTTTTTATTTTAGAAACAATCTTATTTTACATATCAGACTCCACATTCCCTCTCCCTCCCATCTCTCATGCCCCCCCCTCTCCCAACCCACCTCCCACCCACTCCTCAAGGATAGTGAGGTCTTCCACAGGGGATCATCAATGTCTGTCACATCATTTGGGGGAGGACCTAGGCCCTCTTTTGTGTATCTGGGTTGCAATAGTATCCCTTCACAGGTAATAGTCTCCCAAAGTTCATTTGTGCACTAGGGATAAACACTGACTCCACTGTTAGAGGTTCCATGGACTGCCTAGGCCTCCCAGCTGGCACCCACATTCAGAGGCCTTGGCTAGGTCCAATGCTGGTTCCCCAGGTTTACTATTGGGGTCCCTGTGCTCTCACTAGGTAAAGTCAACTGTTTCTGTGAGTTTCTCCAGCACAGTCTTGGCTCCTTTGCTCTCTCCTCCTCCCTTTCCACAACTAGATTCTGGGAGTGTGGCTCAGTGCTTAGCTGTGGGTGCCTGCTTGAAGGCTCTAGGATGGCAATTTACTAAACTAGTTTAAAATTAAACAAAATAGAATCATTTCCCCCTCTTTAGTATTGCTAATATTTTAAATAGAGAAGAAGATTTTACCACCTTTCTCAACAATCCAAGTCTATGCAAGAGCAAGTTTCCTAGGCTGTCTGTGCAGGGGACATCCCTGGATCCCACCCTAGCCCCCAAAGATGGAACTGTCCCCAAAACTATACTTCAGGTATCCACTTTACAGGACTGACTATATCTGCAGATTATATAAGGGTTTGGAAAACTGTGTGCAGGATCTGTAGCATCACCCTCAAAGTCACATTTTAAAGGGAATTTGATACTTCCATTTGTCTCTCTGTAGTGGCAATGAATACTAATCTAGAGCAATGGTAATCAAGGCACCGAACATTTGGACAGACTGGAATAATATGCAAGAGTGCAAGTCTGGGAGCTAGAGAAGAGGCTCTTTGTGAAAGTAGAAGAAATCTACTACCTTAGGTACAATATAAACACAAAAGAAAAGCTCAGACCCCATTTAATAAAGGGAGGGTGCTTTTAACAGGTAGGCAATAAGTAACAGTGAGATGTTTGTAACTTTATATTCCTAACTCTAGAGAGACAGTTAAATGATCACTGTCAGAAACAATGCATGTGAATTCTACATGTGATCCCTTGACCTGAGTCCATCACTGGGTCTCATGCTAACATAGGGAAACCCAGAAGTGCATGCACCTATAAAGGAGAAAGAAGGGGTGCTTACCTGAAAACAGCGGTAACTTACTGGTGAAAATGTAAACTCCAGATGGCTCCCCAGCGAGCTCTGATTCAGGAGACCCTGGGGACTTTCATTGTCTTCCTCAGCTAAGTCTGTTACAGGGGAAAGGAGGAGAAGGATAATCCTGGACAACAATTTAAAGAACATAGGGGTACAACATCTCAGTGAAGTCATCACGAGGAAGGGAACAAATCTAAGATAGACCAAATTATAGTCACAGAGGCTAAAGGAACCTGGGTACGGTGGCCTGGAGGGCTTGAGAACTTTTTCCATTCCCAGAAAGTGGAACTGTGTCTGAGGTAGAGCAGACCTTCATGTCTGTCAAGCTGATTAAGACTTTGGGAGCTGAAAGGCTATGTGGAGCCAACTCAAGGCAATGACTTTCAGATGCAATCTAAAACACGCATATTTATAAACAGATATATGTATATAAGCCACATGCTTGTATTTTATTATATAATTGCCTTTTCTCTTTCCTTTGTTCTCCCTCCTATTCCCTTCCCTTTCTTTCTCCTCCTCTACTACCTTCTCTTCCATGTATTCCTAATTTTTCTCTTCCCTTTCTTATTTTACTCTCTACCCCCTCCAATTATTCTTTTCTCGATGCTTCCCCTTCTTCCCATCCCTTTTTGTTCCTCCTCTTCCTCATCCATTATTTCCCCTCTCCCTCCCATTTCTCCTTTCCCATGGTCCACTCTTCACTATCTCTCCAGGTATTATGCCATCTGCTGCCAACCTTTGGTTTATAGAAGCAAGATGACCCCTGTACGCATCGCATTAATGTTGGGAGGCTGCTGGGCCCTTCCCATGTTTATATCTTTTCTCCCCATAATGCAAGGCTGGAACAACATCGGCATAATTGATGTGGTGAGTATCCACACAGAGGCCATGGGATTATCAGCCAGTTGACGTGGCTAGGCATTCTAGATAAACAAATGGGTTGCTATTTTAATAGATATTACAATAGTGGTCTGAGCCACGTTTCTAAATGTCTACTGTCAGTGTCTTACCTTGGCCAAATGTTAGTCAGGATCCTCTGAGATAATCTTTCCAACCAGACCTTGTGTTTTTAAAACTTTACTTATTTATTCTTCAAGAATTTCATACACGAGCAGAATTTATTTAGATCACACAAACTCCTAGGCATCAAAGTTTGGATTTCCATGTCTGTCTTTGTTTCTTTTCCTGTGTTAAGATAAAATACTTTAAAAAAAACTTAAAGTTCTTGTCATACAGGTCTTTCACTTGCTTGGTTAGAGTTACACCAAGATATAGTATTTGAGGCTATTGTAAAGGGGTTGATTTTCTGATTTCTTTCTCAGTCATTTTATCATTTGTATGTAGAAGAGTTACCGTTTTTTTCATAGTTAACCTTGTATCCAGCCACTTGCCTAAAGGTGTTTATCAGCTGTAGGAGTTCCCTGGTGGAGTTTTGGGGGTTGCTTATGTATACTATCATATTATCTGTGAATAAAATACCTCAAAAGAAGCAACTTAAGGGAGAAATGACTTATTTTAGCCCACAGTTTAACACACTATCATCCACCATGGCAGAGAAATCAAGGCAGTAGGAACTTGAAGCAGCAGCAAGTCCCATAATGTCAGAAAAGAACAACGAATACACACTACTTTTTAGTCCTCTTCTTTGGCTTCCACATTCCAGAATCCCTGCCTAGAGAATGGTCCTGCATACAACCAAGATGGGTCTTCCCACCTAAATTAATATATTCAAGATACCCTCTCCTAGATACAACCAGTGGCCCTCTTGCCTATGATCGTAGAATCTGCCAGTTTGACAACTAATTCTGACCAACACCATGTCCAACTTCGAGTTGTTCAATTTCAGCAATCTTGCTGATAGTTTGGTCTAACTGGAATCCCCTATCCTCAGTAAAGGATCAGGCACTTTATCCTTCATCTCCCCAGGTTATGCCTGATTGCCCTGGCTTGCCTTCAGCAAGACTTCTGCTAAGTTGATTGAGCTAGAATTCCACTTGTTCCTCCCATTTACTTTTCATAATTTTCTGTCCAATGATCCCCCTCAACCAACTCCTTGCTATAAAGCCCCACTTTTTCTTTGTTGTGTTTAGAGTTGAAGCTAATCTTCTTCTGCAAAATCACAGCAGTTTTTCTTGTTTATGAAAATATTGTAGAATAACAGCTGCCTTAGCAAGTGTTTCAAATAATTTTTTAGCATTACTGTATATTGAACAGGAAATAAGCATTTTACATGTAATCCCCAAAAATCCTTTTGGGAAAAGTATGATTATAAGTATAATTATGCCCATTTTAAGGAGAAGTGGGTTAAGCTGCGTCCCCCGTGCCATGTAATTTCCCTGTAGGAGAACAGGGATTCTCTATTTAACAATCAGTTCCTGGAACTTGAGGTCCTGAGAAGCCTTCATCCCGTTTCATGTTCAAGAGTCTATAGGTTTGTAGTGCCTGGGGAAAGACTTGCCAGGTGAATGGAGTCTGTCAGAGAAGGAAAAGAGTCCTGAGCCAGAAGTAAAAGAGCTAACTTGTGAATCCAGCTCTGTATTCAACTTCTTAAGGATTGCATTTAGTAGGCAATATGGTGCTGAGTGAAAATGGTGTCTAATAGAAATGTTAAGGGGACATATGCTACATATGCCATTGTCCAAACCCTGGGTATTGATTGTCCAGAGAAATAGAACTAATAGGATGTTTGTGTCCATATGTCTGTCTGTCATCATCTATCATCCATTCATCTATCTATCTATCTATCTATCTTCCTTCTTACCTATATTCTTAGACAAAGAAAAAGAGAAACAGAGACAGTTAAGTAGAAATATTAGAAATATTGTAACTGGTCCACACAGTTGTGGAAGTTGACAAGTCTCAGCAAACTAGAGACACAGGAAAGCCAATATTTAAGTTCAAGTCCAAAGATAGGAAAAACTGGTGACCCTTCATTAAGGCAATAATAGAGAAGTTCTCTTTCAATCAGCTTTCTTGTTCTGTTCAGGCCTTTAATACATTGGCTGAAGTACTAATTTGGAAGAGAAACTTTATTTACATAATCTGCAAGTTCAGAGCTTCATGTCAACCAAAAGTATTGTGATACCCAGAATAGAGCTTTACCAAGCATCTGAGTACCCCCCATGGCTTAAATTGGCACGTAATGTTAACCATCTCACTTCAAAATCATCTTTAAGAGTTCTACTCCAGTATGCAAAGAATTAAGATGATGATTAAAACTGATGGTCTGGATCCATTGCCAGGGCTCTGGAAGATGACACATAGTCACATAAATCCAGTCCTCTAGAAGTGGGGAAAGAAGAGACTGAGAATGGGCTCTGGCCCCAAAGGACCAGAAAAGAGGGAATTCCCCTTCTTTTCTACACATAAGTATTTCAACTGTCTCTTTGAATAGGAAACAACATTCAAACAACTCCATGGCTAGGACTTAAATTTCAGAACACGGAGTACTTGAGCTTCTGAAAATATACCAGAGGCAGGGAGGGACTCCATCCTGGGAGAATCTGTAGATAATTTCTTCAATCCCATACCTTTTCTTTCAGATTTTAGGTTTTGTCTTGTTGTTTGTGTTTTCATTTGAAGGGGAAATGAAATACCTGTTTTCAAAACACACTATTATTCAAATAACAGTAATAATAACCGCCACTATGTCTCAAGCCCCATGTTAATCACTATTCCAGTGAACCTCATTAAAAACATTCTTGGCTCAGTTGAAACTCAGAAGTTGGAGAGGTAGTCTTGGGCCCAATGATGTCCAACCTTGGAGATGCAAGCAGCAAGTTATACACTTAAAATTAGCAGATATCTAGAATCTGCTTATCTAGTCATCTATGTGATAATGACTATATGTTACTTCAGTTTGGAGCTGAAGAGATGGCTTGGCAGAAAGAATACATACAGCACCCACACCCCTCACAACTGCCTGTAGCTCCAGCTCCAGGGAATCCAACACCTCTGGCCTCCTTGGCAACCTTTTCACAAGTGCACACACCCACATGTGGGTGCATGCACCCGCCCACACACAATCTTCAAATATTAAATCTTTATAAGGTGGGTTGCTAGCAGATTGAAATTCTAAATAAGGAGTTAGAGTAGGCTCTATTGAGAAGGTGACATTTGAATGACGACTTTAAGGAGATGGGGGGACTATACTTGTAGGTACCTTGGAGACGCATACAGTGTGCATGAAAGAGCTGATACAGAGGTCCATATGCGAGATGTGCCTGACATAGGCTGTTACAAGTTACAAAGTTAATTTGGAGGTAAGAAAGTAGGAGAGGAGCTTAAAAATGATAAAATACAATAAATAGGAAGAAAATGCATTGTTCTGTGGGACATTTAAGGCATCAGATATAACTGTGAGTGATATGGATTATTGTAGAGTCTGAGTATATTAGTAGTATGATTTATAATGTTTTGAAAGAGTCCTCATTTTTTTCTGTTAAGGAAGTCTGATAAAGGAATACTATGGATAAGAGACAATGGTGTTGTAGTCTCAGTGGGAGCAATCGAGACTGTGATTCAGAATATAGGTGGATTTTTTTATATAAACAGGATCTTCTATAAGGTTAGAAGAGAAATATGAAAGGAAAACCTTAGCTACACACAATCAAGTTTTTGGTCAGCACATCTGGAATAAATGGAGTAAATGAATATTGGTTTCAGCTGGAAATTCCAGGTTCAAAATAGTGTAGGTAGGATAGGTTTTGTGGGTTAGAGAAAGCATAATGAAAGTGTTAAACACCTTTTAGACATTTTAGTGCAGCAATCAAGAAATCAGCTTAATATAAAATCATGATATTTATGGGAATTCTCTATCAGAAACAAACTATAAGGTAAGGCAGTCTCAGAGTTAGATGCTATTTAAACCCATACAAGTAGATGTAATCACTTGGGTGATGAAGATTTATAAGAGAAGATGTCTAAGAAGTGAAAAGCCAGTAACAGAGGTTTGGAGGCACAACTGTAAAGGAAGAAAAAGAAAAAAGTAAAATTCTAGGAAGCCAATTTAAAAACACATCATAAATGAGGATAGAGAATGCTGTTTCTGGGCATGATAACAACTGTCCTAACCATGACTGTAAGGACGAATAAAAAAACCCTATATTCAAAAAACAGTATCAGACATTATAGTTCATGCCTATAGTCATAGCACTTGAGAAACAGATGTAGGAGAATTTCTGGTCCAAGCCAACTTAAGCTACACAGGAAAAATCCCGTGCAAACCCATTCCAGACCAAATCCCAGCATGGAGTGGGAAACTGGGCACACAATCCCACCCCTAGACTTGGAGTGATTAGCCATTGTTAGGTGCTGGTAAAGGAAGGAGCAGACTCTCTTGGAGTGTAACTACTGGCAAGCTGACTATGCTCCATCGGAGGACCATACATCCAAGAATAGTTTAAGAAACACAAACTGGTCTCAAAGGCTTTTTTTTACATGGAAAGAGGAGTGAATAGAGTAGGGGGTAGATGTGGGAAGAGTATGTGGTGGTGAATTGATGAATGCCATCAAAATATGCTGCAAGTAACTAGAAACTCTCAATAACTGATAAAATGTAAAAGAAATCAATATTTTTAATGAAAGTTTTATGGAAAGATGTTTCACATATAGAAAATCTTCAGCAAATTTTTTATCCTAAATATTATTTAAAGAATAATATTTTAGTCATAGTCTCTAAAATTTAAAAAAATGTACCAGATAAAAGTATCTGGCAGCAGGAGAAATGCAGAAGACTCTGAGTGGTGAATAATTAGCAAAAAAAAAAAACAGAAGGAAAACAAAAATAACAGCAAAACCAAAAAGAATATTGACTACTGAGATACTACTATTAATGCCTTTTGTATTGTTTTTAGTATATATAGAACCAAAATGCATAAAAATCAGCATACCAGGAAGGAATGAGATGAGAAAAATGAAGATACAGTATTTAAGATCTTTATATTGTCAAAACAGTGGAAATTGAATTTCATAGATGGATGTAGGCTGGAGTCTTTATGAAAAAGATGAGACCACATAGGAAAAAGTAAATTGAGGGAAAGAGGCCAAAAACCCAAGGTAGTGTTTTGAATAAGAATGCTCCCCATAGGGTCATATATTTGAATGCTTAGTCACCAAGCAGTGACAACATTTGAAAGGATTAGAAGGATTGGAAGGTGTGTCCCTGTTGGAGGAGGTGTGTCCCTGGGGGTGGGCATTGAAGTTTCAAGAGCTTGTGCCAAGCCCAGCCTCTTCCTGCCTGTGAATCAGGGTGTGGGTCTCAACTACTTCTCCAGCATGATGCCTGTGTTGCCTACCACTGTACTCCCCACCATCATTATAATGGACTAAGACTCTAAAACTGGAAGCAAACCCCCAACCAAATGCTTTCTTTTTATAAGGGTTGCTGTGGTCATGGTGTGTCTTCACAGAAATAGAACAGTGACAAAGAGTCTTAAGATAGATAAAAACAGTAAAATCGTAGACTTAATCTCAATCAACCTCTGTGATTATGGTAAATGTCAAATGATTAAATTATGTGAAGAAAATTTGCTAAAATATAAATGCTACTCTATTGAATCTAGACAAAATGCAAATATATGCTGCTCAAAGAGAGGCCCATTTGCAGAATATAGTGAAAATGTTAAAAATTTATAAAATGAAAAAGGATGTACCTTGTGAATACTGAATTTTCAAAAAGCTTCTATAGCTTTACTATTACACATGATGAAGCAAATTTAACACAGTAGTATTACTTCAGACAAAGAACTTTTGTGCTGAAAAAATAAAATGTTAAAAAGGAAGATATGTTATAAAATTAGAAGACAAAATTAAATACGTATATAATAAAGTTGCATGTTTGCTCTTTACTCTGTGTGTGTGTGTGTGTAGTTTTCCACATCTATATCCATGTGTATGTTCATGTTGAATAATCTCCAAAAAAGGGAGATTGGGTTAAAGAGCTCCTTTCAGTCAAGGGTTAATTATTATTAGGAGAGGTTCAGAGTGAAGAGCTCTAAGGCAGCAGCTTCACAGTAAGGGAAAAGTTCTTCCATTCTTAAAAAGAACCTAGTGTATCCTATTATCAAGACATTACTGGAATATGATGCAATTAATGATTTCCTGCATTAATAAAAGGAGTGAACACACATGACCCTTTCATTACTATCAAAAAATAATTAGCACACTTTAATAGGCATTCATTATTTTTTAAATTCTCACCAATTTAAGACTAGAAGGGAGTTTCCTCAATTAGAGAACACTGACAAAAACTGGTAGTGAAGAATACCCATTGTGTCTTATCCTCTCCTTCTCTTTTTACCTTCCTCCCTCCCCTTCCTCTCCCTTCCTCTTCCTCCTCCTCTTCCTTCTCCTCCTCCTCTTCCTCTTGCTCCTCTTCTTCTAAAAAGAGGTTCTCTTGCTGTCCTGGAACTCCCTATATAGACTGTGCTGACCTCAAACTCACAGAGATTCGCTTGTCTCTGCCTCCTTAGAGTTGTTACTACCTTTTTAAACAGCAAAATAAAATGGCATCATAATTGAAAAAGATGAAATAAAACTCATTATTTGGAAATTATACAAGTATTCTTTGGGAAGTTAAAAATAATGTAGAGATAAAATAATAGCTAATTTATTAAAGTTGCTAGACATATTTCTAGTATTTAAAAAAATCCCTCACTGAGTTCACCACACAAACAACAAAATTTTTGGAAAAAAATTTATTACACTATCACAATCAATGGGAACAAAATGCAGCAGCTGGAGAGATTGCTCAGTGGTTAGGAGTACTTGTTGCTCTTGCAAAGAATCCAGGTTTGATTCCCTGCATCTACATGTTGGTTCATGGTTGCAGGGGTTCTGACACCCTCTTCTGACTACCTCAGGTGCCAAGCACACATGTTGTGCAAATACATACAAGCAGGCAAGACACAGATAAAATAAATCCAATGAAAAGGTTTAAATAAAATATAATAGTAATTCCAACAAGATATGATCATGATGTTTATACAGAGAGTTACATTACTTAAATAAACTTTAGAATGTATGTAAAGACAAAGAACTTTATTCACCAATTGGAGGACTTATGCAATGATGTCCATTCCCCTAATCTAATAAAAAACAAAAGACAAAAAACTGTGAAGAGGTTTATGGAAGTTAATGTTATTTGTAAATACTGTATGAAAATATTGAGATATAAAAATAGTCAAGGCAGTCTTAAGAGGCTCACAATTCCAATGATTTTCATTACTAGACAATCAAAATTCAATGAAATTAAAGATATTAAAATAGAATGGTATATAGATAGAAAAATCTTGAGAACAATATAGAAAATCCCAACACAGAGCCATGTGCATATAGTTATCTGATATAATCAAATTATGTTGCAATGTAACTAGAAAAGGGTTGAGCTTTCCATATATGCTGCTGGATCAACTGGCTATTCATAGAGTGAAAAATTAATCTTTCTCCTGCTCCAAGTACCTGTGCTACTTGTTTTGTCAACATAACAGAAACTAAACATACCTGGGAAGAGGAAATCACAATTGGGAAAAGGCAAGTCTGTGGGGGGTACTGCCTTAATACTAGATGGAGGAGGGACCTAATCACTGTGGAGAGTGCCACTCCTGGACTGGTGGTCCTGGTTTGTACAAATAAGCCAACCATGGGGAGCAAGCAAGTAAGCACACACCTCCGTGGCTTCTGCATCAGTTCCAGCTTCTAGGCTCCCACCTAGAGTTCCTGCCTTGACTTCCCTCAGGGAAAGAGTGTGATCTGGGAGTTTTAAGATGAAATAAACACTTTCCTCCCAAGTTGTCTTCGATCGTGGTGTTTTATTGCAGCAACAGAGATCATAATAACAAAACAACACCTTACGTTTGTAAAAAAATAAAATTTTAATGTTGAACCTTATTTTTTCTTTTCTCTTTCTTCCTTCTTTCACTCTTGCCTCATTCTTTATTTTTTTCCTCTTGTTCTTCTCTCTCCCCATTATTTCTTTTCATGTGTTTTTCCCACTTTGCTGTTTTTTTCCACTGTTTTCTCTTCATTCACCTTCCCACCCTCATTATCTCTCTCCTTACCTCTCTCAGATAGAGAAAAGGAAATTCAACCACAACTCTAACTCTACATGCTGTGTCTTCATGGTCAACAAGCCCTACGCCATCACCTGCTCCGTGGTGGCCTTCTACATCCCGTTTCTCCTCATGGTGCTGGCCTATTACCGTATCTACATCACTGCTAAGGAGCATGCCCAGCAGATACAGATGTTACAGCGGGCAGGAGCCACCCCTGAAAGCAGGCCCCAACCAGCCGACCAACACAGCACACATCGCATGCGGACAGAGACCAAGGCAGCCAAGACTTTATGTGTCATCATGGGCTGCTTCTGTTTCTGCTGGGCCCCCTTCTTTGTCACCAATGTCGTGGACCCTTTCATAGACTACACTGTTCCGGAGCAGGTGTGGACTGCTTTCCTCTGGCTTGGCTATATTAATTCAGGGTTGAACCCTTTTCTCTATGCCTTCTTGAATAAGTCTTTTAGACGTGCCTTCCTCATTATCCTCTGCTGTGATGATGAACGCTACAGAAGACCCTCTATTCTGGGCCAGACGGTCCCATGCTCAACCACGACCATTAATGGATCCACACACGTGCTAAGGTGAGTGCTGGGGGCAGTCAGTTTGGTTGCTTTGCATTGCTCGGAAGGGGTTGTTGATCCAGTTTTTTTTTTCTAGAGAGATATTAGTGAAAATGTGTACAGTGTTTTCAAAGAGTCAAGTCCATTCTGCCATTTAGCCATGGAATCTATCAGTGGGTGAAGACTCAGGCTCTGTAGGGAGATTCACTTGCATTCATATCCATAGTTATTTGACCTTGTGGAAATCACTAACATTTCTAGGCCTTAATTGCACTTTAAAAACTTGGTGTTATAACCACTGTGTCAACCCCAGGGTTTGGAGGAGCATCAAATGAGCTTAATGTGTGTGGCATTCAGTACAGAACATGAGTTCAGTTTTAGGTCCTTAAAGCAGGAAGGACATGATTTTAACTCCCCCAATGCCCTACCATCCATCTTTGTACTATTTTTTCCATTTACTTTCATCCACCATAAAAATGTCAATAATACTACTGCCATTCTAATAGAGTTTTACATATAGTATGCTCATAATGTTAGTAATTGTATTAATATTCCTTAAACTAGTAGTATTTGTATGTTGCCTGACAACCTAAATGAAATGATAAAGCTAAAATAAATTGAGTAATAAGTATACAATAGTAATGCATTGTAACACATTAGATAGCAGAGTATGGCGATCCACATTAGTGATATGGGTAGGAAGGACAGTGATTAGGAACTCAGGAAAGACTTCACAGAACAGCAATTTATAAAATGTTGAGAAAGGAAGAAAGACTAGAGAAGCAATGCTAGGCAGATGGAGCAGCATAGGAAAGAAAGTGGAAAATAGATACTTGCGAAAGTCACACAGGCTGGTGGAGGTAGGGGTGACACTAGAGTTTAGCATCATGACACATGGTTCCACACACAGAGATCTTTTGGGTGTGTGTAAGCTTGAATCATTCACCACTATGAGAAGTTACAGGTATACAGTCTTCACCTTGTGGCAAGGATTAATCAATGATACACAATTCTTTGCTCTGAGATACATCAGGGTTTTTTGAAGAATACTTCCTTCTTTGAGTGAAGCATTGTCTTTTCTGACAATGATATATGAAGATGTTGTAGCAGCTGAAACTTGTATGCTTAATGGATGAGGAGCGGACTTAAATTTCTGTGGAAAATAAACAATGGCTCTCAGAGGCTACCCAGGAACATGAGTTCAATCTACAGCCGCCAGTGTGGGCAGACTTACTATGGAAGCTAACACAGTATTGTAGTTGCATCTGGTAGAAGGGTCTGAAAGGACACTCAGACAGCCTGGCATTCTCTTCATTATTATGAAAAAAATTCTAACTACAGAACATGTGCAGAACTTGTGTGGGGGAGCTATGAGCTATATGCTCTATTTAAGCCAGCAGTTGCCTAAGTGCAGGCTGTTGACAACTTACAACAATGTGTGCTTTCAGTAACACCTTCGCTAAGTCGGTCATTTCTGAAGTTGCTGCCTTTCTAGCTCAGGTATTGTCATAGGAAGGACCTGGACACTTCTGGGCAGCTGAAAAAGGCCTGTTTTGCTGATGTAGTACTGTTTTGCCCTGATTCTTTGGTCACCTGTGTATGGTTGTTAAGCAAAGAGATTGGTTTATAGGGCTATGATGCATCCTCCGTACAGTCCTCCATACACTTCTGCGTGGAGTCAGGAGAAGCAGGAGGTTGATTAGAGTTGTGGGAAAGAGAATCCTATAAAAGTCAGAGTGGGTTGGGGGAGGGTGGCTCACGCCTTTAGTCCTAGCACTTGGGAGGCAGAGGTAAGCGGATCTCTATGAGTTCAAGGTTAGCCTGGTCTACAGATCAAGTTTCAGGGCAGCCAAGGGTACACAGCAAAACCCTGTCTTGAAAAAACCAAACAAACAAAAAAGTCAGTGGTTTATGCAGAGAAAACACATCTATTTCTAAACTGCATCTGCTGTAAGGAAAGTCTTGCAGGTGCAGGAATCTACATATTTGGTTCACTGCTCCATATCAAGGACCTAGTGTCTAAGGCACCTAGGAACTTAAGCTATTAATAACCACATAAACAAAATTAGTTCTTCAGATCAAGTGTTTTAACTTAAATATAATGTTTGAAAATCAGCATTGCCTTAAATATCTCACATGTAGCATGTCAGTGAATGGAGACAAATTCAACAAATATAAAACTAAACTAACAAAAAAGTCAGCTTTTATTGACCACACCATCTCCAGTTAACCTTCTTTCATTATCTTTACACATTCTTAAAACTATATAAAGTTAAAACTTTCTCCATCATTTAATATACATGCACTATTACATTGCACTTTTCTGTATTCTGGACCTTGTGTGTTATTTATTAACAATCACGCATTTGGACATAATTCCACTGGAAAATGTGTAGATAAAACTCATTAATATTTTTACTTATTTGTTGTCTACTTCTAGACATATCGGTGCTTCTAGGATTTCAGTGAACTACACTATACTAATGCTCCTGAACACATTCCCTTATGCTCGTATGCTGGCATTTCAGATAGCCTCAAAGCTGAAATGTTTTATTAATATATATGCTAATAGCATGATTGCCACAGAATGGACCTCCTACAACACTGTTTTATTAATCCCCATTCTCACCTATGGATGTGAAAAGAGTATTTATCTTACCAATACCAAACATCATCATTTTGTTAATTAAAAACACCCATTTAATTTGCATTTCCCAGTTAACTTACCATGTTGAACTTTTTTAAAAAATTAGTACTTTTAAAAAATGTACCACTCATTTTGAAAAGTAGTTAATCTTCCTTTTAAGTGTACACATAGACACACAGAACTACCACTGAACACTAACAGACAGCATTGCTTTAGGAATCACAAGGTCTGAATTTTAGTCTTGATTTTTCCCTCTTAGAGACTGTATGGATAACTTTTCTGAGTTTCTCCTTACTCTTGCAAAATATGAGCAATAAATGCAGTTCTCACTGAATGGTGTGGTATCCAATAGCTGCATATGATTAAGTAAAGTTTAAATTAAATATATTTTAAAATAAAGAAGGGTGCTATATAATATTCTTATTAATTCTTTATCATCTCACACGTGCAAGTCATGTATTTTGTCTTGTTCAGCCCCCATTTCTTCTTACACCTCCTTCGAGAACCCTCTGTTAGTCCTCATACCCTTCCAATTTTGTGTCCTCTTTTTCTTTCCCTTAACAATTCACTGATGCAATTTGTGCTGCTCATATACTAATTCATGCAGGGCCATCTACTGGAGTGTGTGTGTCATCTACCAGGTACCACACCCTTAAAGAAAACTGATGCCCCCTCCCCCAAGAACCCATCAATTATTGATGGCTTCTCAGCAAGAGGTAGATTCTAGTGAACCCTTCCCACCTCCTACCTAAACACTGACTGTTGATCTTGTGCAAGCAGCCACAATCATGTGGGTTCATGCGAGCAGCAATCTTATTGTGTCCAAAGGATGCTGTTACACTCTGATCCTCTGGCTCATACAACTTTTCTGTCACCTCTCCACAATGGCCCCTGAACCGCTGGGAGGAGGTATCATATAGATGTTCTATTTGCAGCTGATCACGGAGCAAACACTCTTAAGGAAAACCCTAACCCAGAAATTAAGGGTTAACTACTGTTAGCAGGACACAGCCATACTTTACCACTTGAAGTACTCAGAAGGGCTTGGATTTTCATGATGGATCATCACATAGTTATTGTTTGAAATAATCTAATCACGTATCTGTTAATAAAAGGGAAATAGAAACTTCTGATGTTCACAAACAGCAACCATGTTAAAACAGAATGTATTTGAATGTAGGAACAGTCAGGTCACCCTTATCCAGGAAAAACTGACCATGATCTGACTGAGTTTGGCTAAGGATGTTTTCCTAAGGAAGCATTTCAGAAGACAGTAACAGTCCAGCTGCCACTATGGGAGGGCTGCTGTTTGGTAAACTGAATGCTGCCTTCAGGGCTGCTTCTCCTATGATGACTTCATTTAACACTACTTTTCCCTGTGGTAAAACTGAAAAGAGGTTGCTTTTTGTACACTATATTCTGACTAAGGATTCCCCTCCCCCAACTCCTCCCAGATTATCCCCTACTCTCACCCACTCAAATCTACTATCTCTCTCTCATTCAAGAATACAAGCAGACATCTTAAAATATTAATAATAAATAAGATAAAATAAAACAAACAAACTGGAACAGAGTGAATCAAACAACTGTGAGGAAAAGATCCAAAGAAGAAGCACAAGAAACACATATAGACTCAGAGATACACATTTCCACACATAGAACTCCCATAGAAATACAACATGGAAGTCAGGAAGAAGGAAGAAGTTTCTCTGATGATGTTGAGCAAGACCCTGATAGCAGAATGCTGAGTTATCTTACTGCTATATTACTTCAGCAGAACAGTAGTATCTGTTTTTCCCCAGATCCCTGGCCTGTCTGGTCTCAGGTTCTTGACCATCTGAGCAGTGTCAGGTATGAGTTCCATCTCACGGAGTGGGCCTTAAATCCAATCAAATATTGCGTGGTTAGTTCCACAAGTTTGTGCCATTATTACACTATCATATTTTTCCAGGCAAGTCACCATTGTAGATGGAAGGATTTGTAGCTGTGTTGTTTTACCTTTCTCCTGTGGTAAAGTGCAAAGTCCCTTCTAGTACCATGAACTCTATTCAGTAGGGGTAAAGCCTCTAAGCAGGCATCAGCCTGACTTCTCCATGCTCAATGAGCTACGTACATAGGTGTTTTCTTCATCAATAGGGCCTTACCATCAGTTTGTGGAAAGCAACCAATAGCCTTGGCAATAGCCTAGGATTTTGGACTGTCCTGCCATTAAAGTTCATTTGGTTTTCTTATTGATTTCTGGGCATTAGTCATATTTTAGATGCTCATCATTCATTGCATAATTTTTAAAGACAATTCCCATCTCCTATTTGGTTTCGGACGTTAGCCAACAAAATAACAGAGATCTCAAGTTTTAAAACATTATTACCTGACC